AACTTTCTTTTCTCCTTCTTTTCCAAGGGAATCTTTTGATGTTCCTCTTCCAAGATGAATTTTCTTTTCTCCTTCTCTTCCAAGGGAATCTTTTGATGCTCCTATTCCAAGGCGAACTTTCTTTTCTCCTTCTTTTCTGAGAGGATCTTTTGCTTCTCCTTCTCCTCCTGCCCTGCCCCTCTGAGTGGTTGTTGCCTCTCCGTGGCTCTGCTTTGACCCTTGGCCCTTGGGGGCAGGTTTGCCCTTGGCTTGGTCAGTCCCAGATTGCTTTTTTCCAGCAGCAGCAGCCCCTGGGATCTCTGGCAGCTTCCTGGAAGGACACAACAGGCTGGGAGGGGTCTGGGGCCTCATCCTGCCCACAGGAACCCCTCTGAGCTGGGACCCTGGGCTGGCACACGGCTGTCCCCATGGGGTTGGAGAGGAGCCAGGCTGTGCCATGGGGGCTCCAGCAGGTCCCTCAGGGGGTTGGTGCTGGGAAGGGGCTCTGGCTGCAGCCCTGAGCCTCCAGTCTCACCTGACCCCAGAGCTGTCCTTCATCTCCATCTCCCCCTCGTGCCAGGGCTGCTTGTCTGCCTTAGTGGTGGAGCCAGCGGGCACAGCCAGGCCAGGAAACCTCCCTGGAACCAGGAAGGAGAGACCTTTGTCAGAAGGGCATGGCTGTGATGTCTCCAAGGCCTGGCACCCTCCCCAGTGCCAGCACTGCACTCAGGGGAGCTGGGTGATGCCCCTGAGGCGACAGAGCCTCTCTCAAAAGCAGAGGGAACTTCCCAGAGCTATTGGATGCCCACCCTCCTGCTGCACCCAGGGATGTGCCTCTCGGGCACCTCCCTCCCCAGAGCTCAGCTCCTGCAGAGCCACCCTGAGGAGAAGAGGCTGTGCTGAGCTGGCACCAGGCTTTGGCACAAGGCAGATCCTTGTGACAATCATCCCCGGGGATTCTCCCATCAGATCCCAGAAACCTGGCTATGGAAACGAGGTGGGAGCTGCTTTACCTTCCGTGCCTCGCCCGACAGGTGGCAAAGTCTCTGTTTGCCTCCCTCTGTCCCCACCAGGGCCGTGTCTCCAGGTCCTGAGATCCCTGAGCAGTGACAGGGGCAGACCCGCTGGTTCAAACCTGGAGGCAAAGAGGAGGCACAAGAATGAGCCACGGCACCACCAGCACCTGTCACAGGAGAGTTTGGCACTGGCTGCTCTCCCAGGTCAGCTGTGCCCCATCCCTATGGACTGTCCTGGGAAATGGGAGCACCCAGGAAAGGATTCTTGGCCATGATGGGAAAGCAAGTGTCACCTAAAAGCCTTTCTGTGCCCCCTCAGGTCTGCTCACAGGAGTGATAACTGGTCAGACACACGTGAGAGGGGCAGCTCTGTGTCCCCAGGGCAGCACTGCCCTGCTCGTGAGGACAAACTGCCCCCAAACTGCAGCTGAGCCACAGGATCACAGAGTCAGCCAGGTTGGAAAAGAACTTTGGGATCATCAAGTCCAACCTGTGACCCAACCCCACCTTGTCACCCCCACCATGGCACTGATGCCACATCCAGGCTCTGCTTAAACACCTCCAGGGACGGGGACTCCACCCCCTCCCTGGGCAGCCCATTCCAAGGGCTGATCCCTCTCTCTGGGAACAACTTCTTCCCCATGGCCAACCCAAACCTGCCCTGGGGCAGCTCCAGGCTGTGCCCTCTTGTCCTGCTGCTGGTTGTCTCAGGCAGAGCCTGAAGCTGCCAGAATTCCACACTCACTCGGGAAAGACGAGGACGCGGCTCGAGAACGCCAGGGAAGCAACGGGCACCTCCCGGGACACCACCAGGTCCAGCTGCTGGAGAACCTGCAGCAGAGAAACGTGGAGATGCCAGGGTATCCTCAGCGTGGCCAGGGCACTGCAGTGGTTTGATTTAGGCCTTTTCCTGGCAACCAGGTGGAAACTAAGGAAGTACCCATATCCCAATATTCCATTCTATTCTTTCTGTAAGCAGAAATATAAATAGAAGGGGGAAGGAAGTTGGAAAGCAGATCTCTTCCAGAGGAGTTGGAGAAAGCAAGGCAACCTCTCTGCAGATGGGTTTCTCGTGTGGGAGTGTAGGCCTGTGAGTTTTTGAGAGGCTGTTGCTTCTTCCTGACTGGAGAGGAGAGATCTGGTGGTGTGGACTTTGCTTTCTTAAGGAAAGAATTAAGATTTTGTTTTGCTAGTTCTTCATTGGCCATGGATCTGTTCTTCTGTTTCTTTTTTTTTATTTTTTGGGGGGTGTTGGAGTTCTCTTTCTTATATGTACATAGTTTTTGTAACTGTATATAAGAGAAATATATATATTTATATATATATAATAATTTATATTATATTATTAAATATTATTACATTATTATTAAATATTAAATATTATGATTATAAGTATTATATATTATACATTATATATCATATAATTATATATAAATATAGATATTATAGATATTATATATTATATAGAGAGAGATATTATATAGAGATATTATATATTATATATAATTTTATAGAATTATATAGAATTCTATAGAATTATATAGAATTATATATAATATATATAATTCTATATATTATATAATTATATGTATATTATAATTATTATAATTATTATAACTATTGTAATTATTATTAAATATTGTTATATTATTTATATTATTATATTATTAAACTATATATTATTTTTTATATATATTTATTTTATATATATATACAGCTTTGGTTCTGTTATTTTGGTCTTTTAGGGTTTTTTTCCTTCCTCTGCGTTCATAAAAAGAGGGGGAAGCCCTTTTGCTGTGGTCTTGGGCTCTTGATGAGCAGCCAATTCCAAACCAGCACAGGCACTCAGGACTGGAGAAGCTCAGGGCAGCAGGAGCTCTCCATGGTCAGAGCCCCTGGCCAGGTCCAGGGGGTCCCTCCAGCAGCAGTGCTGAGGATCTACCCAAGCAGGGGGGGAAACAAAAGGCTCACCTTGAGGGTAGCCCTGTCCTGGATCTTCTTCCCAATCATCTTCTCCAGGAAGTCAGGGTAGAACCTCATGTGTGCCCTCCTGCCCTCGATGAGGAGCACACCCACGTCCCTGAGCACGAAGGCAGCGCTCACGCCCTTGGCCAGGCAGTGGTACAGGAGGGAGGTGGTGCCCAGGATGCAGCTCTCTGCTTTCCTGCGGGACACAGAGGCCTCCGCGGCCACCTCGGCGTGTTTCAGAGGCTCCAGCGGTTTATCCCCTGGAAAAGCACCGGAGAGGGGGGAGGAACTCCCACAGGACACAGCCACAGGTGCTTCCCAAGGGCTGTTCATTGCACCCATCACCCAGAGAGGCCCTGGGGTCAGACCTGCTCCCTTTGCTGTTAAAGAAGGAGTGTGATCCCCCCCTCCATCCCAAGAGGACCACAGGATGCCCTGGAGTAGTGATATATTTTCTACATAATCTCTCTCTGTCCCATTCATTCTTACCCCCCTCCTTTTTCTTTTTTCTTTCTATTTTTCTTTCTCTGCCTCATGTTTACTGTTAAATAAAATCCTGCAGCCAGCAGGGAGTCACTCCCTGGCTCACCAGTCAGGTCAACGTTGTTGTCCATGAGATTGGAGACTCCCCCGAGGTTCCTGGCCAGGTAGAACACTGGCCTCTGGAGAGTCACAGTCCTGTCCCCCACGGGGATCTCTGTGTGGACCACATCGAAGGAGCCAAGGGTGGGCACTCGGATCCCCTGCAGCAGAAGGGAAAGGACAAAGGGTGAGGACTGGTCAGAGGGAAGAGCTGGGAATGGTTCCATCCAGCGATGGCACCTTGGACAGCTCCCACTGTTCGGAAGCGGGAGCCAGGACAGTGGGGAGAGCCCAGGGGAGGAGATGCCAAGGCCTCTATTTTCACTTCCTTGCCCAAAAAGCAGTGCTGGGGTGGGGGCAGAGGCAGCTCCAGGGTCTCCAAGGATCAGGATCAGTTCTGTGGTACAACACCCCCTCCCAGAGGTGACACCACCCTGGCACAAACCCCCTTTGTCCCTCTGTGGGGACTTTTGATGGGGGTTTCCTGCTTTCTGAGGAGGGCAAAGGAACTGCAGACAATGCTCCAGGGCCATGGGGACTCCTCACTTCCCTGGGTGGATGAGGAGGGCGTTCAGGAGGTGGGTGTTGTCCAGGAGGGTGCTCGGGGGGGAGTGGTCTCTGAGAGGGTGCTCAGGAGGTGGGTGTTTTCCAGGAGGGTGCTCAGGAGACAGGGATTGTCCAGGAGGTGCTCAGGAGGAGGATGTTGTCCAGGAGGGTGCTCAGAAGATGGGTTTTGTCTGGGAGGGTGCTCAGGAGACAGGGGTTGTCCAGGAGGTGCTCAGGGGGTGAGTGTTGTCCAGGAGGGTGCTCAGGAGGTGAGTATTGTCCAGGAGGGTGCTC